TCTTGCAGTCTTGGCAAATGGATACAAATTTTATTTGGTAAATGACGAGGAGTCATTAGCAATGTTCACATAGAAAGAAGGTAAATGTAGAGGGGGGATGTTAGGAGTGAGACTTCAAGAAGGAGACTATTACAACAGCCAGAGGAGAGATCATGGGGTCCTTAACTAAGGCATGGGTCTGGGGGCGAAAAGAAGAATGTAGTGAAGAAAAGTATTGAGACAGCAGACTTGAAAGTCTTTGACGACTGACTGATGGATGTGAAGAGATGGGGAAGGAAATGGAGAAAGCAGTTGGCATCCAGAGTTTATATTTCCCAAAGAGTAACCTCCCTGTAGAAATCCAAATAATATAGCCAACTAACACAGTCATTATTGACTTGTGTTTTAAATTTACATTATCAAGGAATATGTGTGGTATTACATATCGATATAAGAAAAAATGGTACTTTTAAACTACCAGATAAAGTACAGGTCCGTTAGTATTAATATACATTGGCATAATGGGGGAATTGGGAAAGATTTCTAAGACATAGCTAGACTGTTTAAAACTACCTTGAGGTAGGGGCGCCTGGGTGGCTCAGTTGGTTGAGCGACTGCCTTCGGCTCAGGTCATGATCCTGGAGTCCCTGGATCGAGTCCCGCATCGGGCTCCCTGCTCGGCAGGGAGTCTGCTTCTCCCTCTGACCCTCCCCCCTCTCATGTGCTCTCTCTCATTCTCTCTCTCTCAAATAAATAAATAAAACCTTAAAAAAAAAAAAAAAACTACCTTGAGGTATTTCTACTGGGTTTTGTTCTCTTGAATTGAGATTATTGCAAACTCAATATATCAATAATAAATACAACCACTGTCAGCTCTGATGGATTCAAAAAAGTGAATTCCTGCCCTTGGGAACTGTGCTTGGAGAAGGCAGACATCTGGGCAGAAGACTGGGAGCTATGTCATCTGATCTTTCAGTAGAGAACAGTGGTAATGTCCACTTAGAGGACTTCCATACTCCCAGGAACGTGGAAACGTGTATGTTTATACTCAGCAGACAATTCACAGTAAAGAAAGGGTTTTATAGGACGCCTGGGTGGCTCAGTTGGTTGAGCGACTGCCTTCAGCTCAGGTCATGATCTTGGAGTCCCGGGATCGAGTCCCGCATCGGGCTCCCTGCTCGGCGGGGAGTCTGCTTCTCCCTCTCCCGCTCCCCCCTCTTGTGCTCTCTCTCTCTCTCTCTCATTCTCTCTCTCTCAAATAAATAAATAAAATCTTTAAAAAAAAATTAAAAAAAAAGAAAGGGTTTTATAGTAATGGCTCATGTCTGGGGAGGAGTCTAGCACACTGACTGGATGGTAGTGTGCAGGCGTGGGGAAAGTGTGAGAAAAGTGTTATCATGAGTTAGAAAAAAAAAACAATAACCCTTATTTGTGAAGGAAGGGGGTTGGACTTCTTTTTTAACTTTCTCCTTAAAGAGATCGGGCTTGGATGTATTGTGCAACTTGGTTTCTTGGTTGGATTTATACCAAATGGAGATAAAAATTTTACTGAGCTAATGACATTAATATATTTATTATGATGACCCCAAACCATAGAAGAAACCACAAGTACAGGAGAAATGGTCTTGTATTCAATAGTCACTTAGCAGACAAACACTTAACCCAGGGGTCAGTTAAGATGCTAACTCAACCAGAAAAATTCTTATGAATCCAGTTCATTGTTTCCTTTTATAGCTCAACGTGAAGAAAGAATGTGAAAGTCTAAGCACTATGATCTTACATACTGACAAATGACTATGATACTGATAATAATAGGTCTTGCTCCAAGCACCAGGCTCCAAGCACCCATTTCTTTATGGGATCATAGGGAGAAAAAAGAACAAGAGATATATAAACACTGAGATCTCATGAACTGACTGGAGGGAATGGTGCCAACACCACAATGCCAGGCTATAATTCCTTTCTTTTCTAACTAGACTCCTCTTAATTTCCTGACTCCATTCATGGTGGAAATAGCCTATTAATTCCTTTTCCTAAACACTTAATGACTGGGTAAATGCTTACAATATGATCTTAAATGAAAAAGAAAAATAATACTCATGCAAGGCATAAATATACCAACATTTTTATACAGATCCTATGCTGGTTTTATGTTTATAATAATCATGTGCTATTTTATAATTAAGAATTAATGATTTATAATGAAATATTTTACATATAATATTTATGTCATTATATAATGCTATATAATGAGAAGATTTTGAAAGATATTATCATTTTCCAAAAGAGAATTTTTAAAAAGTAATCAATCTGTATCCACTCTTGAAGACATTTTTATTTTAATGGCAAACTTCATGCTTACTTCCAAAATGGTTTGCGTTCCATGCTCTATTTATAAATAAAATAAATAGCTAGTACACATTTTTAGATAAGAAATATTATTCAAAAAGTGCTCATACAAGTAAATTTATCTTCAGCTCACTCATTTTAAAAATGTTCTCACTTTTAAATCTCATCTCAAGTTTTCTGGTGAAATTTTTATATTTTGCAGTAACTTAAAAATATACAAATGAAGGGGTAATTATCTCTTATATGTGAACATTTTCATTTTTTAAATGTAATATGACACTTGGAAAGCACTTCATGACTATAACAAAGGTAAGAGTGTTGGCATTGAATATTCTTCTAAAGATTTCAGAATCTGTTCTATACACAATGCCCAGAGTTTTCAATAAATAGGCTAATTTTCTCATTTTCTTATCAATGCATTTTTTTCCATCACTTACCCATTCCTACTAAATCACCTGCCAGTTCAGAAGGACAGAATTGAGGAGGAATGGACTCATGGCTAGAAAAGAAAAGAACCCAAACCTGTATTCCTCCTAACACCCTGTCTTTTTGTTCCATCTTCTGAAGGTTAATTCCCTCTAAGAGCCCCTGCCTCCCTGGACAAGAAATTAATAACCTTTCCTTTGTACTTAACTGTCTTTCAATAGTCTCTATAACTTACTTAGAAGTCAGACAGCACTTTGTTTCAGGGGATGACATGTAACATCATATAGGGAATCATACAGAAACACAGAGAATACCTAAGTAAAGTTGGATAATTTTTGTAGTTTTGATATATAAAGGAGAACAGTAATCCTTGGACATATTAGTAGAAGTCTTAGAGTTAAGTGCTAAGTAAAAGTGTTAATACTGTCATGATACCTATTGATTCACTTTTCTTAAAATCATTCAAAAATGGTTTTGAGGAACAAATAATAAGACATCCATCTTGAAATTAAAGAATGATAAAGACAGCTAGAAAACATATATTGAAAAAAAATATATACATGATTAAAATAATAATTTAAAGAATAGTACATATTTTATTTTTAAAAAATAACATTTTTCTTATTAAGTTCCAAAAGTTTAATTCAACATCTTTACACTGAGAATAAAGAATAATATTTGTAATTTTTTTAGGTTGTATTTTATTTTTAATCTGGATATGCTTTGGAGAAAAAAGTATCTTCATTTTAAAGTTATTTAGGTATTTTCCTCCCAATAAAGTTTCTCAAATATAGCTTAGATTAATACCAAAATACTAGAACTAGTCAACGATCTCTATTTTTAGGCAAAAGAATAAAATTCCCCTCATACTATATCTTTAAAAAAATTAATGTGGGTATAAGACATTTTCAAATTCTAGGAGATTGTTTTCTCACTAAAAGAAAAAAATTGTCCTTTTTTTTTTTTTATTAGAAGTTTGGTACCATGAGGGCAACTATGATTTCAGTCTCTATGAAGATACTCAATTTTTATGATTGAATCTACTTTTAAGGAAAAAAAAATATTAGAACTTTTCCTTTATTTTGTTACAACATTAAAAACATACTTTGAATCTCTATTGAAGCAATTAATGGAAAAATTATTATCATAATAGAAAAAGCTTTCCACACATCAGGATAGAGAATGTTATGCTTATAAAAGTTCCATTTAGACTGACACTTAATAAAAGTAGGTTGCAATGACCTAGGAAACCTAAATATTGCCAAAGTGCTTAGCTATTTCCTAAAATGTAGCAATAATTTGTTCTATACAAAACAGATTTGATGAGAATGTATCAGACATATATAATTTGCTTAAATAACTATAGTATAAAAATAGTATAGTGTAAACCTACCTGGTCTTATAAGATAGCCAGTACTTACATTTGGCTATTGAGCACTTGAAATGTGACTAGTCTGAATTAATATGTATGGTGTCAGAGACAACCTTCAAAGACTTAGTAGCAAAAAGAAAACGCAAATATCTGTCATAATTTTTATATTGATTATCTGCTCAAATAATAGTATTTTAATATAATCAGTTAAGTAATATAATTAATAACATTGAGTTTTACTTGTTTTTATGTTTTTTAACAGAGATATCAGATATTTTTTAAATTATATATGTGTCTTCCATTAGGTTTTCATTGGCAGCAGTGGTATAAACAGCTAAACTTATACCAGAATGTTCCCTTCTTTTATAGTTTCTGCCTAAATCCAATTTCTGAGTTTAAAAAAGGACTTGAAAAATAACAAATGTGATTATTGGTTAGTCTTAAGCCTTAAAGAATAAATAACTCTAAGGAGATTTTTGTGTGATGTAGGTCATACATATGACATCACAAACCAACATGATGAAGAATAATCATGTATTGCTAGTTAAGATCAAAAATATAACTATCAGGTTAACGTCTTCTTCTCAGTCTCTAATTTATCCTATATATGGCACTCACTAATTTTAGAGAAATCCCTACATTGTAGTATTCTAACAACTAACAATAGTTGTAATGTATTTTGAGATACTTGTATAAAAGTATAAATTTGCCACATAAATTAATTTAGGAAATTGTTAATAGAATTATTTGCAATAGTAGTTCTGATACCATGCCTTTAACGTCAGTTAAACCCAAGTTTGTATCCAGAAGATTTAATAATTTATGCAAAACTACTTAGAAACCCACAAACTAATCTGTAAGTGGGAATTCATACCGTCATAAATCCATCCAGCAAACCTGAATCGGGTTTCGGTGGTGCCTGCAACCGTTCCATTGACCACTTTTCAATGATGGAGGAGACTTGTGTATTTTCTGTATTTAATATTCTGAACCCTGTCATGTTAACACCACTGTATCGGTAGGGCTCTACATCAAGAGCAAAGAGGTCCTGAAAGACAAATTTTTTGTGTGTTAGTACCAATAGAGTATGTTCACAGATATGTATAATTAAAAGTCAATTATTACTTTCCTTAGAATAGTTAACATGATTGTTTCTCAAATGATGTTAAACATCAGAAATCACCAAGATTCAAATAGACTATTTTCATGCTTTTCCAATGCAAACATACATATTCTAGATGAATATGCATGTATATGTCATATTCTAATTCTACCAATGGAAAAACAGGCTTTTCTGTAACCTACATTTAAGATTTGCATGAGCTTTCTTCTCCATGTTAAGGATAGCTTCATTTTAAAGTTATTTAGATATTTTCCTCCCAATAAAGTTTCCCAATATATCTTAGGTTAATACCAAAATACTACCTTAAATTTTATGCACTATCACTTTTTTTTTTTTTTAACTGACTAGGTTTGTTTTGTTTTGTTTTGTTTTGTTTTCCTATGCTCTGCTTCCTTGACTGGTAACTGCCACTTTTTTATTTTGTCTTACCTTTTTTTTTTTTTTAAAGAAACAGTTCATGAAATATGGCTTCTAACTAATGAAGATTATATTAAAGCTGAGGGCAACACAACTGGCCTTTTTTGGTTGTGGAACCCTTGCAGTTCCTTTGTTTTATACCTTACCCAACAAGTTCACCATAGGGAACCCTTCATATTTTTGTTGTGGGTTCCAGGCTGTAGTTAATGCTCTGGCTTTGCCTTTTGGTTTTCCCAGGAAAGAGGAGGCCAAAGCATCCAGAAGAGTTGGATGTCACCACAAGAACATACAGCATGTGGGACCCCTACACTCTTTCAAGTTGTCATTAACTAATCCTCAGATCTTACAGACAATATTGGGAACCAGACCAACAGTAATGCCATTGGTCCTGTGAAGTTTGTCTTGGATTTATACAGCTACATAGGCTACAAACTAGAAATAAATTTCAACGGAGAGCAGATGATATTGGTCTGCACTGTGCTCTGTGCTGTGAAAAAATATAAAGAATTTTTTTAGGTTTTTATTTTCAGTATTTGCAATCTAGCCAAGGAGACATACACTCATACACACTAAGGGGCAAAAGAGTAGAAGTGTTAAGTGCAAGGAGTCAGAAGCAAGACAAATAACTTTGAATTTTTGTAGTCAAAAATAACTTCATAAAGCAGATGGGATCTAAGCTTCCATTAAAGAATGAATGGGTTTTTGATAGGCAAAAGGAAAAAGGATGTCATTCAAAGTGTCAGTAAAGGCACAAAAATTAGAAAACATAAAACCTATTCGGTAGACTGATCTAGATCAGTTTTGCTATAAAAGAGGACTGATGAAGAAGAATAACAACAAAAGAAAATAGGAAAGTTAGGTTAAAATCAAACTAAAAAAAAGCCTTCAATTATAGGCTAATGAATTCTATATATCCTAAACTACTTTTTCTTTCTTTTTTTTAATTTCTTTTTTCTTATTAAGAGGTACTTTTGATTCCTCTAAAATCTTATGATTATGGTGAAACTGAGTTGTAACTGCACTGAAATATAATTTGCTGATGAGTAAAGTCTTCTAAGCCCTCACCTCCAGCCTATCACTAAGTTTCTTACAGGCTGCAAAAAGTGACCTGGTGGGAAGTAGTATCTCTATTAGAGTGAACCATAGTATTTATCAGTAAAATACAGACTACTGTGTGAAGAACCTCTATTGGAAGAGAGTTGTTATTACAGGTAGCTATTGTGATCAAGTACATTTTAGTAATTTGATCTAGTAGCTTCAAGACTCCTAAAATCAAGGAGACCAATCAGAATACTTCTGAGTTAACAGAAAGCATTGGTTAGACTGGTCATTGTGGGGACGGAGATGCATGCTAGAGACAGTATGGAGGAAAAAACTGTCGAATTTTGGTGATGATGTAGGAGTCAGACAATGGAAGCTTTGAAGGAAGTCAGAAGAGGGGTCAAGTTAGAGGACAGTACTTTAAGGTTTAAATAATTTGAAATTAATGTGACAACAGTTAGATTTGTTCTGTAATGTAACAGTATATAACAACTCAGAAATGTTATAGAGGGAAATTTAGATTTCATTTCAATAAAGGTAATAATTGAAGTTCTAAATACATACCAGTTCTGAAGAAAATAACTGAAGGGGATAAAGGAAAATAGAATAACGGCTCAAACTTGAAGATACTCTCATACTTGGGGCAACAGGCAATAAAGGGGAATAGAATATGCCACCCCCAAATATGCCACTTTGGCATGTGGATTACTTTGATTTGAAGGCAATCAAGACCCAGTAGACTCAGGAAAAACTTTTATGTCTGCCTTAACTACCTAAAAGAATTTATATAGGGGGCCAGTACCAGAAAAAAAAGCTATTACTAGAGATAACTTATTTATCTGAAAGATCTTTCTGCACGGCAGGGCAAACTTCTAATTACCAAACATCTGCTCTTCTTTATCGGTCTGTGAATTACCCTCCTCCCCTTTGAAGCCCCAGGCCCTCATCCCATTCCTTAGCTCAATTACCTGACCTGACCTTGAGTCTCATATCTTTGGGGCTCCTTACATATGAAATTAAATTTGTTTTTTTCTCCCATTAATCTGTTTTATGTCAATTTAATTATTAAACCAGCCAAAGAACCTAGAAGGGAAGGACAAATTTTCTACCCTTACATCAGGGAAGAATTAGTGACAGAGACAGAGGGTCGTTTCACAGAAGAAGGAAAATCAGTATAACATATTAGCAAAGAAATAGAGCCAAGAGTAAGTAGGTTTGACAGAAAGGTAAGGTCATATTTTCATGCATATTTAAGAAAAAACTGTGTGGTGGGTATGTAAAGACAAAAGATAAAGGTAACATTCAATTTGCTAATTGTAAATTAAGTCAGACTAACTTTTAAAAATCCAACTAAACATGGGCGGAAACAGGATAGAAAATTTAGTCTACTAAAAGAGCAGTTTCAATGAATCTGGTTTTTGTAAATAGAACTGAGATAACAACATAAAAATGTGTGGTTTTCTAAAACACTGATTTCTCAGCAAACTAATTTTAAAATCTATTATGTTATGTAAGTTCTCTAAAGCAATATATAAATAAGATATGATATTTTGAATTGATTCTGAAATAATATTTCAAAATCATCAGCTTCCCACCAAAAATTATTCCCCATGAGGATCAATTCCTCCTGAGTTTTATCAAAATAAAATAAATGATAAGTACAAAGGAGCTATCAATGCTTCTCACTCAAAAACCCATTTTCCATACTGAAGGTCATAATAATAAAATTTAAAGCATTAACTTTATGCTTTAATAAGTTACTTACCAGAGTAGTAAAGATATAATGATAGTATTCTGTCATCATTCCCATAGCTAATGCCTAGGAAGTAAAAAATTAAAAAAAAATAATATTTAAGGTACACATCATATGAAATATGTCAATAACAAAATAGTAGGATGTAATGAAGAATCTGGGTATAACATTCAGGTTACGTTAAAACTGGGTCAAACTAAATCTTCTCTCCATAGTTAAGGAAGATTAGTGGTTACTGAAGGAATTTCTGAACCAACTCTCTTGATAGAAAAGCTATTAGCTGAAAGTTTGCAATTGTAAAGCTTACGGCTTTACATATTAAAGGAGGCATTAAATTTGAAACAAACTTGAAATTAGCACATCTTAGTTCATTATATTTGTAACATCTCCACTACAAATACCCTAATGAGGAACATCATTTTATTTTGACGATCACTATTATTCAATTAGGAAAAAAATGCTATAAAGTGCAATGCCAGTAGGAATTTTTTTTAGCACTTTAGAAACTTTCCTTAGCATTGATGAAGCAACTGTAAATCACCACAGTTATTCGAAAAGTACAAAGAAATGTTTTTTACTTTTTTACTAATAGACCAGTCGTAAATTACTGTTTTATTTCATACTTATACAGTCCTTGTCAATTTTAGACTATCAATCTTAAAATAAGGACTTTCGGATTAGAACTTCCAGTCACAGAACTGTCAATTTTTCCTCTGAAAATGAGAACACTTTTGAAATAGCTGTTTATCAATGAACAGTAGTTGGTGATGATAATTGAAAATTGATGCGTTTTTGAGCTGAATGAAGAGCTCTTGGTAGGAAACAAGTATTCTCAGGTGCATCTAATACTCTTCCATAAAATACCAACTACCCAAATTCATTTGCTAAATAGCTGCCCCAGCTCTATCCTATGTATTCTATGCTCACAGGTAGGTATTAACCAATTAGCTAAAATAGAATCTGTATATCTAGAAGCGAGTTGTTCAGTTAAGAAAGAATGGATATTTGTGAAAATTTTTGGAACAATAAAATGCACTTTTTTAAAAGGGAGGAACATTTGTAAATGAAAGGCAGCAGCAAAGAATTAAGCAGAAGAAAGGAATTTAGAAATTGTGATACTGTGATTTATAATAGGAATATATATTTGGTCTTCATTGGTGAACTCCTCCCCCTGACCCCCGCCCAACACACGCGCAGTGGAATTGTGTGCACAACACCTAGGAATCAAATTATCAAATCATATTTCCTGAATGGACAAAGATTGTATGAGCCAGTAACACTCTGATGAAGTCTGAATCTTAATTGAAATAAGAGAAAATTTCTCTTATTAGATAAAGGTTTATAAGATTATCGTTATAGAAGGTAGTTATTGTTCCTGATGGATATGTACCAAAGGTTTCTCAACTCCAGAAATGTGCAATGATAGCTCAGCATTATCCTTGTCAATAGTTTTTGTCAACTCAATAGGTATAGAGATACAGATAAAGATAATTGAAGATAATTGAAAGAAACAGTGATTCAGATGCACAACTATAAATAGCATATAATGCCTAAAATGTGTTAAGTACTATTCTAAGCACATTGCACATTTTAATCAGCCTTGTAGAGGCTGAAGGCAAGCAGACCCAAGATGGGTCATTTTGGCATGAACATTATTCCCAGCTGAAGGCAACGGAAATCCTGTGGGCTCAAGAGAAACTTTTGCCCCTCCCTTAACTACATAGAAAAATCTAAATTGGGGATCTTTCCCAGAATAAAGGTTATTAGCAGAGATAAATTTTATCTGAGTGATCCATCAGTATGGCAGGACAAACATCTAATTACCAAACATCTGCTCTTCTTATCGCCCTGTGAATTACATTCCTTTCCTCTGAAGTCCCCCTTCCTCTTAGTTCATCACGACATATATATCTCATTTTGCCAAACTGTCTTTGGAATTTCCATATATGTGTGGATTCCCTATATGTATGCTATTAAATTTGCTTTTCTCCTGTTAATCTCTCTCGTGTCAATTTGATTCTTAGTCCAGCCAGAAGAACCCTTGAAGAGGAAGGAATTCTTGCTTCCTGATAGCCTCATTAAAAACCTTATGAGGTAGGTCCTATTATTACACTTATTTTATAGGTAGGAAAGTAGGACAAAATAAGGATGAATATATTGGCCAACAAACTGAGATAGTGAGTAAACATGAACTCTAGGTCTCTAACTCTTGAAGTTTGGGTATAATATGCCATTTTGTAAAATGGCATATTTTATATTCCCAAAAATATAGATCCATTGTAGAATCTATATAATCTAAAATTTTTGCTTGTCTTTTTCCTTGATAGTTTGAAAACCTCAAGCATCTCAAGCCAGTTTGAAAATTGTGTTCTGGAGGTAGGGATGGCAGGGGTTAAGGAGATGGTGGTAGGGAGAGCGGTTTGCTTCTGACACGGGTATTCTGCACTAGCTACAGGTTTCTTTTTCATCTCCTTGAGAAGAAATCTGTAGGGGATAACTGAGGACTGCTTATGCCTTTCATTGACCTTCCTTCAGCCTTTGATTCTGAAAACAAGAATCAATTATGGACTATGATATCTGATCTAAATAGAAAAGGGTAGTTATTTTTGATTGAGTACTTACACTATAACATTAACAAAAATGGACAACAGGGATACTCTCTTGAAAGATAAATAAATACTTTCCAGTGCAATTAAAAAAAGAACTTTGTGGAAATTAGACAACAGGATTGAGCAATGGAAACTTGATCAAGGCAAAGGGACCCACAGCGATGATCACCAGAATGAATACAGACAGGCCTGACAGGCAACTCACCTCAAGATATCCACCTAGGCCTAAACTGACCAATGGGCTACTTACAACTAGGCCCAGGTAACAAAAAAAGGGAAAATTCCATACATCACTGTACCTCTTCACCTTCCCTCTTTAAAAACAGCTCCTACCCACTGCCGCATAGCAGGTAGCCTCTCCTTTGCTGTCTTGCCTACCACTCCCTTGGCCGGTATTCAATAAACGTCTATCTCCTTTGTTCTGGCTTAGCTGAATTCTTTTCACTGCCCCCCGCACCACTGGCTTCCAACCAATTGTTGCCCCACATTTGGGGACCCATCTGATCTGGAGAGACACCACATTTAGATACCACAAACTTGTTCTGGATGTTTTCTAAATTATAACATTTATGTCTTGCCACTGTTTTTAAATGAACTATATGCACACTTTAAACCACATTAATAATAATAAAATTAATATCTTCTTGTGTATAAGTAATATGAGAGTAGCTACAATAGAAAAATTGGATGTACAATAGAAAAATTGGCTGTACTGTATTATCCCTCCTGGAAAGAAATACCACAGATTCATTTTTCCAAAATCAAAATATGTCGGGAATCTACAGGGTACTGGTTGCAAAAAAAGGCATCAGGACCCACACCAGTATCCAATCAGTAGGTGGTATCACAAAAACAAAGCCACTCTTTTTTAATAAGTAGGAAAATCTTCCTAGAAGCTACCAAAAGAAATCTTACATCACATTGCCCAGTGGAATAGAATCACCTGTACATGTTTAGACCAATGATGACTTGGGGGTTAAGTGATTTAACTTCCTTAACATCAAGATATCTCCACCTGTTTTCTAAACAAAATAGCTTGAGGGCTTGCCAAAAATTTGTGAGGAGGATTTGGCTCTGGTTTTCCAGTTTGCTGACTCCTGGTCTAGTTCACATAATTAGAGAAAGGAAAGACTGGACAAAATACACGGAAATTTGGAGACAATGATTGACTAAATGCTCCTCACTGCTTAAGAACAAACAGACAGGCTTTTTGTTTATATTTGGTAACTGATAACTTTTTAAAATAGTTCATTATGTAGGTCAAAGCTTTATATCATTAATATAATAATATTCTAGTTTGGCTTGATTTCTTTATTATTCAAAGACTATAGTCTTTCATGGAATTTTCTAGCACTTTAATATTTCAAGGAAGAAAATATTATTAGAAATTCCCAACATTAACTAACGTAGCATTAACCATGCTATATGACAAATATATGACAAATGAACACATCTAGGCATATAATTTGTAATCAGTTTATCCTTCAGGTTATATCCAGAAGTTATATTGCTCAAAGTTAACAACTGAAGAGGTGGACTTTATACATATTTCTTAAAATTTAATTTTCTTCTTGCTGATGTGGTAGTTTATTTGCATCTGATTATACATTTTTCCAATCTAAAAATTTTGATTTCACCCTCTCTATTCTAGACTTTCAAGGTCTTAATTAGTAATTTTTCTCTGGGGTAGAATGACCTTGTGAGGTTTAATTGCAGATTATCTTGACCCTGCCATAGGGGATTCTCTTTGACAAATTTGGGCAGAAGTGCGATCTTTTGTTATTAAGGCATGTGTGCCAATTAGTGCACTCAAAGTAGGGCCAGCCCCAAGTTTCAATCACTTTTAAAGTTTTGAGGGAAGAAAACTTCAAATCCTCTTTTGTTCAATATTTAGGAAGAGCTCACTTAGTTTAAATAAATAAAACAATGAAACAAATAAGGCTAACCTGATAAACTGATCCATATTTCTGGATACTCCTAATATTTGTTCTTAGATTAAGCCAGACAAGCTGAAAGCCCATCTATGCCTGTTCTCCAACTCTTATACCATTTCTTTGGACTTCTGTCATTAACCAATGTTGAGAAATCTCAGAAAAATTACATAAGTCATAAAATAGACTCCTATTAAATGGACTGCTTCATTTACAAGAAGGAAGCTTTTGCTTTCTTCTTGGATTGGTTTCTAGAATAACTGAGATCCAAATGTGGAACAAGTTCTCTCTGGGACAAGGTAAGTTAAAAAACAAACACCAGGCCTTGGAGGAGCAATATGGCGGAGGAGTATGAGACCTAAATTTTGTCTGGTCTCAGGAATTCAGCTAGATAGGGATCAAATCATTCTGAACACCTACAAACTCAATAGGAGATCAAAGAAAAGAGTAGCAGCAACTCTCTGAACAGAAAAGCAACCACTTTCTGGAAGGTAGGATGTGTGGAGAAGTGAATCCGAGGCGATAT